AGGGGGAGGAGGCGGAGGAGGCAGCTGCAACAGCCAAGGCAGGGCTGCCTCGTCCAGGAGGAGCATCAGCAAAGTGGTGTACGATGATCATGAGAGTGAAGAGGAGGAGGAGAGCATGGTGTCCGAGGAGGAAGAGGAGGGAGACCCCGAGGATAACCAGGACTCCGAGGAGGAAGAGGAGGAGGAGATAATGGAGGAGGAGGACGACGACGACTCAGACTACCCCGAAGAGATGGAGGATGAAGACGATGCCAGTTATTGCACTGAGAGCAGCTTCAGGAGCCACAGCACCTACAGCAGCACCCCAGGTAGAGAGTCAGTGGGATGAACTCAAACAAGTCGAGGGCACCCCACATGCTCCCTCTAGGTTTGCAAATACAGTCCGCACGCATTCTTCCTCCCATGCGTGTATGTAAGGGATGCCTGCAAGCACTCACAGGGAGAGAGGGGTATGCAAATTAACGACTGGCAACCCCACGGATGCAGGGAACATTAGAAGATGCTTACAAACACATGCGCTGAGAGGAGGGAGGGAGGGAGGGCAGTACAGGCTGTAACAAGGGGATGCTTTGCAAATATGCATGCAGACTCTGGTGACTGCAGAAATGCATGATACACCAGAACATTTTGCAAACATTGTCAAAAGTGTATGGAGCATTCACTTAATATTTAAAAATGAGGGAAACGAGGTGCATGCCTTGCAAAGAGGTCCTTTCAAATATATACAGGAAAGGATGGCTTGTGCTTGCAAATATAACTATGTTAAAAGGAAAGGAAGCACATGCAACTTGAAGTGGCCTAAAAAAAAAAAAACCCAACCATAAACACTGAAAATTTTCAGGCTCTTGAAATCAGAGGTATAACTGGATCCAGCATTTACTGGCTTTAAGACAAAACTAGCTTTCCAAGGAGGGAAATGAGGTGCATTGTTCAAAATGGAGATTGCATTGTTATAGTTTGGGGAAAAGTGCACAGGGCCTCATTGCAAGGGTGTAAACCTAGTTTTAGTTAAACACAAAGATTAAAAGGTGGAGGTTGAGTCGAAAGTCTTGGGTTTAAATACTGCATTTATCTTAAGATATGGCAACCTTTAAAACTCATGTTGGGGTTAAAACTTGTTAAACATAATTGTGATTTTTTTTTTTTTTTTTAAACCTCTAGTGGCAAATTTGGGCTCAAATCTTTGCTTCTGTTTGTCCTTAATTAGTTCATTAACTATGTGGGTTTCAAGCTTCAAAAATTCTTTTATCTAAACTTAAGCACTTTGGATTTATTTGAATTCATTCCAGAATGGAGTTCAAGCTTAGGGTATCTTTTTTTTTTGGGGGGGGGGGGGGTGGGGGGTCGGAACCAGGGGAGTAGTTAAACCTGGGGATAACCTAGGAGTGTTTCTCAGTTGGGCTACAGGATAACAAACACTGCTGTTGTACAAGTATTTGGCCAATTTGGAGGGGGGGAGGAACAGGTTGTTGGTGTAAATGCTTTGCATCTTCATTAAAAAAGGAGTGTAGTTTTGAGTAGTTAGCTGATGACTTTTTAAAAGGGGGAAGTACTGGCTACTAAATGTGTAATTTGTTTTTATTTTGGCGAGTTAATGGTATCAGCTCATGTGACTTAATAATAGTCCTTTAAAAAATTCTGTATGTCTATATATATTTTTTTTTTTATCTATATCCATATGCTCAGGAACCTAAATGAATCAAAATAAGTACCTACATTACTAAATAAATTTAATTTAGACATAATCTTTTTAAGGTGTTGGTTTACCTGTTGCAAGGATGTCCTGCAATCAAATTGGAATTTTTGAATATTTATTACTTTAAAGATTGAGGTCTGGCTTCACAGAAGAAAAAACCTGAAGTATTCTCTTGACTTTTAACTCTTCATTTTCTGCTTAGTTGTGGTGACTTTAATTTTTATTACTTTTTTGGGGGTGCTTTTGTCAGGGAAAGAATATGCTTTTAATTGACTAGGTCAGGAAAATGCTTTTTACGTGAGCATCCAGGTTTAAAATGAGTTCTGCAGAATATGGGTGTATTCAGTTTTTGAAATGTGCTTAAATGTTTTGGCAAATAACAAGATACCTCTGTGTGCATTGTTGTGCAAGTGTAGACAGGTTTTATGTGGTATTTAGGTGTATCAGAAACCATTTTGGTAATTTATATGTTTATTCTTCACTTGGTCAGGGTAACTGCAGTTAACTTTTGAAAGATAAGTTTAAGTGTAAGCATTTTCATCCTTACGAGCTTTTTTTTCTATATTGAGTGTTTGATGGTTAAAACATCTATGTTGTTATTTTGGCAATTTACTGGCAGTTCTCGTTAGTTCAGTATTTGCCTCAAGGTCTCCCTTCCTCCTTCCCTCTCTTCCAGACATGCCGTTACCCTTTTGCAAAGAAGTACGAACTTTTCATTCTATCAGCTCAGTCTGTGTCTTGTTTCTGCTGAACAAGTGTCTACGTTGTGAGCACTGCTACAGAGTGGTGGCACTAATTGAAATCTTAGTCTTGTCATAATCCAGGAAGAGATACTTGACATTAGAACAGCATTAATAGGCAAGGGAAAGATTCACCTAACCTCAGTATCTCTTTATCTGCCAGCAGCCAGTGCAGAGAAGAGTGTTAAGAATAGGGCAAGCATACAGCGATACGTCTTCAGAGTTCCTTTGTGGGCTCCAGTGCTCTTTGACTCAGGTGCATGCTGAGCCACAATTGGTCTTTAGCTGTGTTTAGATATGGGGTTTTTTCTTTCATACGTTTGTCTTCGAACCAGACAAATTGTAATATACAGTGACAAAATTCCCGTGGTTAACTGGAGGGCTTGAAGGAGTGTCTCCTCCATTGTTTTAAACTGGCCCCTGACAGAATCGTGCTGTGCCCACTAGGTTTTTTTCTACTAGAAGAGAGGATAAATGATCATTCTCTACTTATCTTAGTCACGTGCAGCCTGAACTACTGCCACTTTCAGGATGTAGTCCTAGGGGCTGAAGAATTTATTTTTTGAGAGCAGGGTACTGAAAAATTGCAATCCCAATCAAACTCTCCTACCAACCAAGATTTTACATGTAAATCTCATCCCACTTCAATGGGTGACAGACTTTTTAACAGTTTATTTCAAACTTACATAGAACAGTGAATTAAAAGATCACAGTGCAGTATCTCTAGCCAAGAAAGGCTCAATTTTTGTGCCCTTCTGAGGATTTTACGATATATCTTGAACTTGGATGTGGGAGTCATTTTTTTACTATTTATTATTAAAGTATTTAAAGAAGCAAAATCTTAGGAATGGTAAAATGTCTTTGATATAATGCTTAATAATGGTACAGTAAAAGCTTATCGTGTGAATGCATGTGACATTTATCATTGCTTTTTCTTCTGCTGGACAGACTTTTGGTAGAGGAATTTTGTGCGTGTATGTGTAATGTCCCTTCTCTCTTACCCCTTTGTGTCCCCAGAAGGTAGATGTACTTTTAGGATAGGTATCCTATATATCTTGTATCACTAAACATTTTTGCCATTACCTGTCCACTGGAAGTTCTACTTCAGGCTTGTCACAATTACATTATAGATATCAAGTATTTTCCATATGCTGCAGAAATTTAAGAGAAGGATTTAATCAAGATGCCTAGAAGTCCTTCATTTTCTGTTTCTTGATTTTCTTCGTCAAAAACTTGGAAAACTAGCTTTAGGAGGAGCTATATATCTAGATTTTGGCTGAGATAATAATCATCGGTCAATCTAACAAGCAAATGCACAACAGTGGAGTTGTGAGCCAAAAGATTTATCTTAAAATACATTAAATAAATTTTTTAGATGGATTTTGCTAGTCTGAGCATTTACAGTGATTGACCATCACTTCTGTTAACGAGTTACTTCACCAATGTGCTTTTATCCTCAGAGTGAAAGAATTTAACTGGAAAGGAGGTGCTGCATTTTGTGTGTCTGTAGTAATTTTATATCTTAACGCGTTCTCTTGCTCCTGAAGAACTGTTTAAGTGGAGACATTGAGATACGACAGTAAGATATGCAGCCGCTTTTGTCTGTCATGTGAGGAGATTTACCGGCCTCCCAAACGTCTTACCTAGGGTACCCTGCTCTCTAAATTAAATCTGGCATGCTCTTATTTTAACCATTTAGTAATCTGAACTTTGATTTGTACTCTAGAGGAACTACCACTAGTTCATCATGCCCGTCATGAAAAATGTAAAAGACAAGTCCTAGCAAAGAAACTGTGTAGAAGGCCAAACAGTAAAACTGGCTGGTTCTGTTGTATTGACATGCAAATTTGCAGTTTATCTGAAGAGAGCATTTGTCACTTCGGTCATCTTTCTAAGAAGCTTTGTGCAGCAAATACCGTACCATTATCAAAGTATGTGTGTTGTAAAAGGTAGAATAACTTGATGTACTGTAGATGAGTTTCTTGTGCAAACTTTTTTGTAGGTCTGTAGTAAAATTCCATAGCTGACCATTGTACTGCATAGTACTGGTATAAGGTGAATAAATGTGGATTTTAGTAGACTGGGGCCAGCTCTCAGGGCTCACTAACTTCTGAAATTAGTTACAACTTATCCTGAGTGTGTCCCAACTAAGAAATTGTCTGTCAGACTGTTCCTGAAAATCCCTGTTAGTGCTATTTCCCCCTCCCGGCGGGTTCTAGGCACAAAAGGGCTGTGACTGAGTGCTTCTCAGAATCACAATGTGGGATCTCATCTGCTACTTGTCTTGCATTAGTTACCCAAAAGTTAAAATAATGCCTTAGAATGTAGGGGCTTTGTATTCCTGGCTCCTACTGAAAGCGTACTGATGGCCATAATGTTGAGAAATCAGTAGAGAACCTTAGTTTGATTTAGAAGTGTACTACTGACAAATGTACTACTGACAAATGTACTACTGACAAAAAAAATGGAAAAATAAACAGCCAGAAGTTTTGAAGTTTTAAAACAGTTTTTAAAGAACATAAAGACCTAGTTTTGTACAGTGCAAGGCAGTAGTCAACTTAGGAGCACATGTTGAGAATTTCTGCTATGTGAGTGCTCTCAGGATCTAGTCTAGTAACCGGTTATTTTTTCATTTGTGCTTCAACTTCCAACGCTTTTGTGGTGCTTGAAATGTCCCATTTGTAATGTAGGTTTAGGTTTTAAGTTTAATCTGGGTCTTGGTTGGGTTGGTTTTCTTTTATTATTTTTCCAGGCAAAATAAATAAATTTGGGTTAGGTACAATTGTTGCAGAGTGGTATTCAAGTTGGAGCTGCACTTACAAGTAGTTACAAATGCATCTTATTCTTTCAGAAAATTTTTCTAGAAGAGATT